AATGTCTGGAGGCCCCTGAATGGCCCCTACCAGCAGTCTTATCATTCTAGATCTCAGAGTATATAGAGTTAACCCTTTGAGCTTTTATGATCTATAAATCAATCTGCAGCCAAGTTGTTCTAGAGGTTAAATAGATATTATTAGGGCTTAATCAGTAAAATGGTAGAAAATGTGCTAATTTCATAACTTCATAACCTTTGACCTTCTCCTTGGTCTGTTTAACAGCTACAGTCTCAGATCAACTTGTACTAACAGCCCTCCAGGACTGTCAGCAGCAGAAACAGAAACTTTATTCCTGTTGGGGAAAATATGAACATTTGCTTTGCATTGTCTCCACATGATGGAAGTGATATAGTAGAATCCAATTAGATTATTGATCAATATGGGTTGTTGCTGTGTTGATGTAAGATGTTTTTGTTCATTGTGCCCCTTTAACTTTGAGCCCCGGCCCCTCCAAAGCTCTCTGCATGGCCCTGATTCTAGGAATAGTTGGAAACTTTTTGAATAAAGAGTCAAATAATACTTCATAGTATTTCTGGCTTGAATCAGGGCTGTCCAAGAGCTACCTGCAGCTGTTACATGCAGGATAGTATCATGTCTTATTCTGTCACCTTTAATCAGGACTCTGTTTTCTGGTGAAAATGTGTTCTGAGTCTCCGGGACGCGGCAGGAGGATTTTATTAACATTCCTTGATCACCCAGTGGGACCTTAAGTCTGTGCTTGATTCCTGACAAAGTAGCAAAACTAAAATACCAACAATTCTGTTTAGGTGTCACTAAAACTGCTTTGAGGTCTCTGAAGTGGTTCCTTTAGAAACAGAGAAATTTACTTTGGCTGCTCATTTAGCCAGTAGAGTAACTATAATCTGCTTCGCTGTCATTCCAGCAGATGCTTATTACAGTAGAAAAATGATCATAGACTAATTATTGAATTGCCACAAAAAGCAGATGACAAAATCTCCCAACTTATCACAATTTAAAAGGGAGCCTTATGTCACTGCTGCAGCCATACAAGAGGTATGGAAATGACAGACCTGCAGTGGCAGAGTTACCTAATGTTGAATCACCACATTTCTCGGCCAGCTGAGCCTGCCATGAGACGGAGGAGGTGTTAGAGGTGAAAGCAGTAATTTACAGGCCTTAAATTTCAGGTCTCCTGTCACACCACAGGTTGTGGCACGGTGATGCTTTTTCTCTTGAGACATTCTTTTCATGCTAGGTAATGAGAAAGCAGCTGCATGTCGCTCTTCAGATCATCATCATGGTGCTGGGGAGAGAGACTGCTTGTTGCTTTTGTCAATGAAATCATTTGTTCTTCAGTTATCAGTAAAAGAAGGTAAAACAGCTAAGACTGTTTGACATTAAATGGTCTCACAGATGTCCTGTGCCTCAGTAAGACACCGTTTCCTTCCTTTTATCTTTGTTGTGGATATCAAGGTGTTTAAGTAAATTGTCTTTTAAGTTATATTTGAAATATATGCAGCACTTTTATAATAACTGAAGGTAACATCGTTACTTGATAATGCTATAAAATGCCACTGTGTGCCTGGAAAATATTTTTTTTTAAAAAGAGGAAAACTATTGAATATATATATATCCACTACGACAATGGAGCACAAGAAACTGGAGAAATACCAGGGCCTCAGGGAGGAACTGGAGAGGGCCTGGAAGGTGAAGACCACAGTGGTGCCTGTGGTCATCGGGGCCCTCGGGGCAGTAACCCCCAAACTGGATCAATGGCTACAACAGATCCCAGGAACAACATCAGACATCTCAGTCCAGAAATGTGCAGCAGTCCTTGGCACAGCCAAGATACTGCAGGACCCTCAAGCTCCCAGGCCTCTGGTAGAGGACCCGAGTTCAGAGGATAAGAACTGCCCCGAGGGCCCCGATGACCACAGGCACCACTGTGGTCTTCACCTTCCAGGCCCTCTCCAGTTCTTCCCTGAGGCCCTGGTATTTCTCCAGTTTCTCCTTTGTCCTGATGTTGCAGTCACTTGGTATTGCTACATGTACCACAACAGTTTTCCTCTGTTGTTTATCCACTACGACAATGTCTGTTTGGTTCGCCATTACCATTTGTCTGTCTGGATCTGGAAGTTCCCACAGGATCTTAGCTCTGGTGTTCTCTACCACCTTTGGGGGTGTTTCCCACTTTGATCTCGGGGTTTCCAGTCCATATTCTGCACAGATGTTTCTGTACACTATGCCTGCCACTTGGTTATGTTGTTCCATGTACGCTTTCCCTGCCAGTATCTTGCACCCTGCTGTGATGTGCTGGACTGTCTCAGGGGCCCTCCTTGCACAACCTACACTTTGGGTCTTGTCTGGTGTGGTAGATCTGGGCCTCTATTGCTCTGGTGTTTAGGCCTGTTCCTGGGCGGCCAGGATGAGGGCCTCTGTGCTGTCCTTGAGTCCAGCTTTTCAGCCATTGGTAGGATTTACTGATATCAGCCACTTGGGTTATTTGCTGGTGGTAATCCCATGTAGGGCTTGTACTCCCATGATGGTATCTCTGGCACCTCAACCTCCGTTCCCTGTTGTCTGAGACATTCACTGAGCACATTGTCTGTTGAGGCTTTGTCCTGATGTATTTATGGATCTTAGTTGTTTCGTCCTGGACAGTGGTTCTCAACATCACTAGTCCTCTGCCTCCTTCCTTGCGGCTCGTGTACAGTCTCAGGGTGCTGGATTTGGGATGGAACCCTCCATGCATGGTTAGTAGCTTTCTGGTCTTAATATCTCTGTGGCTTTTATCTCCTCCTTTGGCAGCTAATTATTCCTGCAGGGTATCTGATTACTGGCAAGGCATAGCTGTTTATCACACGGATTTTGGTCTTGCCATTGAGCTGGCTTCTCAGGACCTGCCTTATTCGTTGGAGGTATTTAGCTGTGGCTCCTTTCCTTGTGACCTCATCGAGGTTGCCATTTGCTTGTGGTATACCCAGGTACTTGTAACTGTCCTCTATGTCTGCTATTGTTCCTTCTGGGAGTGAGACCCCTTCTGTGCGGATGACCTTCGCCCTCTTTGTGATCAGCCGACCACACTTCTCTAGTCCGAATGACATCCCAATGTCCGTGCTGTAGATCCTGGTGGTGTGGATCAGTGAGTCGATGTCTCGGTCACACTTGGCGTACAGCTTGATGTCATCATGTAGAGTAGGTGACTGATGTTGGCCCCGTTCTTGAGTCTGTATAAGTATCCAGTCTTGTTGATAATTTGGCTGAGGGGGTTCGGGCCTATGCAGAAGAGTAGCGGGGACAGAGCATCTCCTTGGTATATGCCACATTTGATGGACACTTGTGCAAGTGGCAGAGGAGCCAAACACCAACTCCTTGTAGACCGCACAGTTGCCTGAGACTGCAAAACCCGACACACCAACCTGTGCATGGCTTGGATCGATTACAAGAAAGCCTATGACTCAATGCCGCATACTTGGATCATTGAATGCCTAGAGATGTATAACATCAACAGGACTCTGAGAGCCTTCATTGCAAACTCGATGAGGCTGTGGAAAACCACCCTTGAAGCCTATATATATATATATATATATATATATATATATATATATATATATATATATATATATATATATATATATATATTTAAATATAATTATATTAAAATATAATTATATATTTATAATTATATATATTAAAATATAATTGAAACATCGACATTCTCTCAATGTATAAATTTTGAAATCATGCAAATGTAACATGATTATATTTCTCTTTTGTTATAATTAAACAAAATGTTTTTTTTTTTTGGTTATTTGTATTGTTCCCTACCTGACTGTAATCTGGTTAATTGTTTTAACCGTGTAGTAAAATGGTAACAAAGCCCCTCTTTATTTCTTCTTCTGTGGTATTGTCTTTAAAATGTTTGCATCCCTTAGGCCCTCCCCTTTTGTCATGTTGTCCTGTGGGAGAGATGTGTACTATTTATCCATCCATCTATTTTCTGTTCTGCCTTGTCCCTAGAGGGCTCGGGTGGTGCTGGTGCCTCTCCAGCTACTTTCTGGGTGAAAAGCGAGTCTCCCTGGACAGGTCACCAGTCTGTCGCAGTTTACTATTTATTTTCAATCTAAATGCATCCAGTTTATTTATGGATTTATTAAGTTAATGGGAGCCATCATTTTAAAGACAAACCGTGTCACAGCCTGATCACTTAAAACCAGCACAAAGCAGAAAGTGAAGTGGATATAAAGTGATTCAGTTCAATGAGCATCAGCATTTTCTTCACTTATCTCAGTTTGCATTATAATAACAGGTGCAAACTGAGAACAAACTCGTTATCACTTCCACCTCTTCTTCTTAATGGCAATTAATAGTTTGTGTGAAGTCAGCTTTAATGAAACTCTTTAAACTTGTTCTTGTTACAGCTTCACTTTGTTTCACTGACACCAACAATACAACATAAACTTTAATGAGATGGTGTCATGAATACAATATCAACATAAAAAAATGACATAAAGCATATGAACAGACCTCGCTGGCTGAGCCTTCCTGTGAGGCAGACATGAGGTTAATACAGGAATTTTTTCAACTTAAATGACCTTTTTAAAGCCACTTGCTAAAGTTATGCTTTATATCACTGCATCCTTTCTCTGGTTCCCTAGCAACATGCTGGATTCCACTTTCTACTTTAACCTTTCAAAACAAGAGTTGTAACAACAAAACAAATATGAATAATACAAAATAAAACATGCAAGCTAAAATTATGACCATAAAACTCATTTTTGATAGTATGTTGAATGACATATTTTAGACTAATTTTTGAGAGAGTGGGCAGGAGTGATGGTTACTTCTTGACTTCTTGAATTATTATACAGGTCCTATCTAACTTTCTAACTGCGACGTCAGTTTGATTAGATTGATATAACCATTTGTTTGCTAGAGAAGTCTGCAGTCTGATTAATAATCTATGACAGTAGGAGTTCAACTCGCCCATCAGCTGCAGTGTGAAGAAGACAGTGGGTTTTGTGGTGTGTGCTCACATGCTGCTGTCCTCTGGTGACCAATCTTCCGGCGTTGAGCTGTTGTTCTGTCGACGGAAAGATTCTCGTGCCTTTCGGCGACGTTCCCGCTCCACTTCTTCAGCATCCTCAATACTCCTCTGAGCGGTGAGTCTGGGCAGAAAAACAACTACTGAAGTTCCAGCGGCTTTTTGTGAAAATGCTACAGATATGTTGAAACATGCACAGCCAAAAAGAGTCGCCAAAAGCAGAAACGCGGCACACATCTCATTTTCAAAAATCAGTAACAAGTGGTAGAAAACAGGGCATTAACTAATGTACATTCTTAAACACTTTTGATAAAATGTGCAAAAAGACTGCTGGTAAACATACAAAATATAAATTTATATCTACAGTATGCATTGTGCTGTAAATTCAATAAATATTTCACATTGCTTCACCTGTAAACATCACTTTGCATGTTGTTTCTACCCTCAATAATGTAATGTTATGGATTCTGTGTGTCTCTTTTATCCTCTCCTATCTGCTTACACTCACACACTGCAGTTGACATAACCATGTTCATGTGTGACTACGCCAGCAACAAATTGAAACTGATTAGACTTTAACTCTCTATTTTTTCTGTCAATAAAGCATTTCATGACAGGAAACAGAAGAAAGTGCTGTTTCCTGGTGGTGGTGGGCACTGGTATCACTTATTATGATGACTCTACTTCGATGCTATAGATGCAGTCTTGATTTCATAAGGTCAGGCTCTCAATCTTTATGCCAAGTTCCTGATTTTGTGTAACAAACATGATTTCCCATCATAGGCTGCAATGACAAGACATGACACTTACATTTTTAAAAATAAGTATTTGGGTTTCAGTTTGTTTTGGGGGGTTTTGCCAGTTGTGAAGTGCTAGGAATCAAACTCACAACCTCCATCTGGATGTAATAGCTCAGAACTACATCAGATCAGGTTCATTAGTGCAAGTTCAGATTTATTAATTTTTTTTACTTGGTCAAAGAATTATTTTGCTTTCACTTTGCATAGAGATGGAGATTTTAAGCTTGTTTTCCAAAACAGGCTTAGCATGCAGAGCTCATCTGTGCTGACATTGTCTTCCCAGTGACTTTAAGCAAACTTCTTCTTGGCTTTTCTGTATTGTTCTGTTGTAAACTGAAACCAGACGCAAGAACTGACATGCTGTCCCACTGAGTGTTTCCTTAAATAAAGGTTGATGAAGTTTCCTTGAGCCAAGCCATGGACGTCAGTACAGTCCACACCAGATTAGGACCAGTGATAGAAGGACACATCCAGCTTTTAAGAGCAGAAAGTGTCTGCATGAATTCAGTCAATGTTTAAAATTTCTTCATACAAATTGTGAGGTGAGATCAGGAAGTGACTGAAGGTTTGAGTTGATTTGAAGCCGCGTTCCTCAGTTTGAGGTGGCAGAAAGTCACAACATGCTTGAGGATGAAGTCGAATATGAACACGCCTCACACTGCCAGTCAGAGATTGATGTCTTCATTTGCTTTCGATGGTTTATTTTCTGGTACTTTCATTAAATACTCAGATAGCTGCACTGAAAAAAGAAAAGAGTTGAACCAACTTACTTAAACTGCTTCGATTAGTAACAAGTAATCCAATTAAGTTTGTCCAACTCAATCTATTAAGTTGGTTTAACTCGGCAAGTTTGTCAGTCTTTCTGAAATGATTTAGTTTTCTTCAAATGAAGAAGTAAAGTAATAAAGGATCTTTTTTAAAACATTTTTTGTTTTTTGCTCTAGTGGCTTTTATTTAAGAGTAAAGTGGGTAATGGAAGATGGGGAAGACATTTAGCAAAGGTCATCAGGCTGGGAATTGAACCTGCGATGGCCACATCAAGGTCTAAGACCTGCTTACCCTTGCACCACCGCAGCACCACAGTTGGTACAGAATCTGTCTCTGGTGAAGCTTGAGTCATGATGCCAGACGTCAGGATATGAACTTAATTATTTCAAGTCAAAGAAAAGTTCCTTTAAGTTAAAAATGTGTAACTCTTAAGTAAATTCAACACAAAAAAAGTAAATTGTCATCACTAAACCAAAAGAATTAAGTGAGAATGTAAATAAGTCAGGAACTCATTCAAAGCTCATTTAATCTTCAAATCATTGTGTCACTTTGCACAACAAAAAAGCAGCTTCTCATCTCTGTGAACACATCCTGAATGCTTTTGGACATCATGCAAGTGAATATGTCCAATTCTCTGCTTTTGTGTTTTCAGTTGCTTGTGCCATGTTGATCCTGTGGGTTCTGGTCAGTCAAGCGAAGGCTGCTAGCAGTTTGTTCAGCATCGTCTTCCTTCTCACGTGTTTATTTGCCATTATTTTTGTCTCTTGGTTTTCCTTCCCAGATGCCTTTCATATCTGGCCACCAGCCTCCCGATTAATCCCCCCAGCAGGCGACTCTGTTGTTCATGTTTATTTGGACATTAAGGAAACAAAGACAAGACAGGAAATCTAGACGAGTCTAATGGTTCTTCTGAGCCTTGCTGTGTCGTTGGAGCAGAATCAGTTACTTCATAACAGATCCATACACATGGGGTGTGTATGGATCCATCACAGATCCGTGATGGATAAGAACTGCCAGCAACCACACAAAGCCTTTTGCTCTGTCTGCACATGTTGAAGTGCAACAGGAGAGGAAGAGGGATCAGAGTCAGGAGGGAAGAGGTTGAGGGTATTTTGTAATCTCTCACGCTGTCATCAGGTGGATGAATGGATTGAATGATAATAACAAGGTTTAGCATTCAGCCTGAAAGCCCTCCAGCCTGTGTGGTGCAGACGGGCATGGTGGGAACACGTTACAGATGAAGTCACTGTGCTACAGGAACAAGTCAGAACAGAGAGAAGCAATGAGTCACTGCAACTCCAGAACATAAATCAACAGGTGGGTTCAGAAGCCACAACAAGTCAGACTTTATTTTATCAATCACTTGGCAAAATTACTGAAACTGAATAAAGTTCAACTTTACAGTATACTCAGACAATATGAGGACCATGAGGCAAACAGCAGAAACAGACTTGAAGTATCTTGGCATAACACAGAGTTACTTGATTTCCTCTATGAGAAAAAATTGATTTGGTTTCAGAACTATCAATGCATTGGAGCAGAAACAAGCATGAGTTTTTTTTTAGAGGAAAAACTTCACCTTGCAGTTAAAAAAAAAACTTGGTTAGTTCAATATAAACAAGTTGTTTTGGTTTTTTTAACAAAATGATTGATGTATGACTCAATATTTCAAACCCAACCTGGGAGGCGTCGCCCAAACGACTGACTGCTTCGTGTCACTTTGACATGGAGCGAATGTTGCTTCATTTTGATGCTTTCTGTGGTAGCTGGCACTGTGACACCTTTGACCTTTTTGAGAAGATCCCTCCTAATTTATGACATTTTCTTATTCGTTAGCCATATAGAAAATTTTGAGATGAAAGACTCAGCATTATTTTTTAATTGAAAAAAAGGGAAAAAAGATGAGTTCAGAAGATCACTGTGGAAAAGAGAAAACAAGCTGGCAGCTTCACTAGAGAACCAAGGAAGTCTTCATTGATTTACTTTTCCTAGCAAGTAGCAAGAGGGTATTACAGCAGATACCTTTCCCAGAACTGTTACAGCACTGCTGACTGACCGTCCTTCATTCCCTCAGTCAGCAGAGAGTTGAGAGAGGCCTGTGCTCTCATCACTCATCAGCCCACCTCCCCCAAAAAACACATTCCAGAATGTCTTATCTCTTTGGACACACAGAGGCAACTCACACATGAGTCAGGGATCCAGTCTTAGAGGTCACAGATCTGCCCCGGTCTGTGCTGCAGGCTGAGCCAACCTGACAAAGAGCTGATTAAAAGCAGATCAGGTCTGCTGCACGCCTGCCATGACCCTATACCCATAACAGCAAGTCTTTGTGACCGCTTCTTCTGTCTCACAATAAGAAACCTGGAAAGAATCTGAGAGCAAATAAAGTCTTTCCAAAAACCAGCAGCACGAGTTCAAACTGAAGATCATGCTGTAAACATCTCCAACGTCCCTCCAACAAATATTTAAGAGATCAGAGCTAATTATTTATTTCATACCAACAGATGTTCAAAAGTATTGAGACACGCCTTTAAAAATGTCTTTTTTAATGAATGAGATTCAGGTATTGTTGTTTAATCTCAGTTATGAAAATTTCACCCAAATTTTTACTCAAAGTAAAAAAACAGTTGACAAATTTAAGTTGTATTTATTTCTTCTTTTAATTTTTGACAACTACTCTTCACACATTAAGTTGAAATGCCTTCAGTGAGGAACTTTTTGAACAAGTCTCTGACATCTGTCTAATATTTGAATGATTTCTTTAATGTACAGCAGGTTTCATCTCAATAAGATCAAGATCTGGGTTTTCTGGACTTTCCATTTCAGAATTTTCTTCGTCTTTTCATAATTTCTTGAACATTTTGTGCATTACCATGTTTCACTTCCTGTGTCCAGACTGACTTCTACATGGTTTAGTGTTTTCCTCCACTAACTACCTTTTCTACATAGTGAAGTTAATGCTGGGTTTTTGATGATGAGCTGACCAGGTTCTGCTGCAGCAGTAGATCACTAAACCCAATAATAAAACTTCTTTGACTTCCTTCTTTGACTCATTAGCTGCTGCAGTCTTTAACTGTCTGAGGTTCTACTGAAATGGTTTCCTATTCATGTTCACCTAAAATGATACACTTGTGTGTAATTCTAGCTATTTAAAATGACAATATATGTGGGAATGTCTGAATTTAATCCTGACCAGAAGCTGCTTTGGTTGTGGCCTTGGTGTCACAGAAACAAACAAATGGGTATATTGGATATATAATTATACTACTGAGGCCAATACCTCAGTAGTATACACTACTGACTCTATATATCATCTATCCATGTGATATATATGTGTCCAAATTTGATACAAAAAAAATATGTCATAATTTTTCACATTTTTTACATCCTTCAAAGTTGTACCAAATATTAGAAACAAAGATCTCAGAATAGAAGACAATTATAAACCAAAGAAACAATAAACATCACAGAGAAAGCACCGCATGAAGTTGCTCAGAAGCAGGTCAACATGTCCAAGCGATCTGAACTCCCTAAGAGAAGGGAACATGACTAACGGTGCTGAAAAACAGCCAAGCAGTAAATTGTCTGATACAGCAGTGGGCTGGAAGTCATTGCCTGCATTTGGTGTGATGTCATGGTTTCTGTCTGCACAGTCCCATCTTCTCAGTAAACTATATGTCAGGATGAGAGCCAAACACTGCCAGCTGGTATCTTGAAGCCTTGTGATTCTTTCAGTGACTCACCAATTACAAAAGCTCAACAGAGACAGAGGCAAGAATCAAACCGTAAGCATTCATTCTGATTCAGAGGAAAAGCTTTATGATGGCAGCAATTCACACAAAAACCATTTTTATGATATCAGGTGACAAAATGTTTTGATGACCTATCTGAATGTTCATGAATACATTTTAGAAAACTGAGACTCATTGGGATAGGTATTATATCCTAAATATTATATATATACATGGAACAACATAACCAAGTGGCAGGCATAGTGTACAGAAACATCTGTGCAGAATATGGACTGGAAACCCCGAGATCAAAGTGGGAAACACCCCCAAAGGTGGTGGAGAACACAGAGCTAAGATCCTGTGGGACTTCCAGATCCAGACAGACAAAATGGTAATGGCGAACCAACCAGACATTGTCGTAGTGGATAAACAACAGAGGAAAGCCGTTGTGGTAGATGTAGCAATACCAAGTGACTGCAAACAGGAAAAAAGCACGAGAAACTGGAGAAATACCAGGGCCTCAGGGAAGAACTGGAGAGGGCCTGGAAGGTGAAGACCACAGTGGTGCCTGTGGTCATTGGGGCCCTCGGGGCAGTAACCCCCAAACTGGATCAATGGGTTACAACAGATCCAGGAACAACATCAGACATCTCAGTCCAGAAATGTGCAGTCCTTGGCACAGCCAAGATACTGCAGGACCCTCAAGATCCCAGGCCTCTGGTAGAGGACCCGAGCTCAGAGGATAAGAACCACCCGCAGTGGGTGAGAAGGGAATTTTTAAATTTATTTTAAATATATATATGACACCTCCATAGCAGGAGTGTGTAAATTCCCAAACACCACCTTTTCAGACATCCTGGAAGTCCTTTCATCAGGACTTCAGGTAAAACTGTCCATGAGTCAAATTCATCTCATTCTGGCTCAAAACAACACGTTGATTTCATGATAGCAATCCGACTGGTTCCGACTGATTGACATCTAACTATGCCTTTCAGAGCTTCACAAGTCTGCACAGGTTTAACACACATCAGCAATGGGTGAATGTGGCTTTAAACAAGCATGTGAGAAGAAAATTCAAACTATATGTTTGTTTTGTTGTAATGTCTGAGTCAAAGGCTTTCCTTCAGAGTCCTGGCTGACCACAGCACATCCTCTGTCCTCTGCTGTCTGCCTTCAGCTGGATCTGGTTGTAAACAAGATATCTTGCCATCAAAAGACAGTAATTTCTCGTCTATGTCCTTTCCTTACTCACCTAGAACAAATAAATCAAAGCAGACACTTTTTGTCCAAATTAAATAAATATAAATATGGTTAAACTGAAGTGAAGTCTTTGTATTATGTAGTGCTCAGTGTGACATTTGTACTTTTTCTTGTTTCTTTTTTCTTTTTTTTTGGCTGCAGATACAACAACACAGATATTTAGTTGACATAAAATGTAAATTAATTTAAACTAAAATTAAGACATATTAGAAAAGAATGAATTTGACTAAAGGAACCTTGTTAGAGCTTTTGACTTGTTTCTGTCTTTGTTTGGTAAAAACCTGTATAATCTGTTAAAATCTTTGTTAGAATGAAAAAAGTGAACAGAACTGAGGAAACCATGGGAAATGATTCAATTGTAATTTTAAGTAGCATCCCAAATGACCAGACAAGCCAGGCTGCAGGTGCAGAAATGGTTTGAGTCACTGAAGAGCCTCACAGAACCAAACTGAGAGGCAAACCCCAGAAAAAAACAGGACATACCTTCATAAATGTGGACTTAGAAAACAATAGAGAGACTCAGGTGACCTTTCCCCTCTGACTCTGGTTAGTGACTCCATTTCCCAGAAAATCCTCTGGCATCTACTTTGTCTTAAATTTTTCAACTGAAAAGTCTCCATTGCCATCCTCACTTAGTGAGGTTTAGTAGCAAAATGATCAAGCAATAGATTAACTATTTACTACAAATATTAGCTTGTGGAAAGATACACCTAAATCCCCATGTGACCCATAACGTTTCCACTAATCCAAGGGTTTTTCACTAAGACAGACAGACTTTTGCAGCAAACGCCCTCAAAATCTACCCCAAAAAATAAAAAAACAAGACCTGACAAAAACTCTCAGGTTACTGATGATCACTTAAAAATAAAATACCCAGCTTGAAGCAAAAAGTCGTGTTTACTCATGTTACCTCAGTCACTGTTTGAGATGCATGTCATTTAAACATTAACCTCAGTGGCTGTGCAGCTTTCTAGAACAAAGAGAAAAAACCATGAGAAACTGAGACGTATCCATCACATACCTCATTAGATTTTGCAAACCTTGTTTGCTGGAATTCCTCCTCAGCAGAGTGTGGGACATGTTTGCTTCTTTTCTGCGTCTAGTTGTCCTCTTCTTGTTGCTTCACACTGGTGGAAATAACAGAGATCACACCAGCTGCTGATACGGCTCTAAGATCAACCCCTCTGAGAGAAGGTGTTTTTGTCCAGAAGTTGTACAAAGTTAAACAGCACTGAAGTGTTTGGGAATAGGTGTGAATGGTAAAGTCTCTTTAAGCACACGCACGCACACACACACACACACACGGACAGTCCCAATCCTTACAAAGCTTGCTGAGAATGCCAGCAAGGCTCAAGGGGACTAGCTCCTTTCTCCCAGGGAGGCTGGATCTTTAGTCGTTACACTCCCCCAGCACAAACACACACATCACCCCTCCCTCTGTTCTACATGTGGTTTTCATTGAAGAGCGGCGGGAGAATCCCTCTTTTCAGTCTCTATTCCATCTGTCTGTTATTCCTCCAAACATGGTTTTCCCAAGGGTAGAATAAAAAAACAAGAATGTGTCCCTGAAATTGATTTATTTTTTTTTTTTATGTGAGTGAGGTGAATGAAACACAAACAACAAGTTGAGTGAATGTAAAACTTCCTGGCACCAAAAACAAGATACTGTTTTTATATACTGCTCCAAAAAATAAAGGGAACACTCAAACAACACAATATAACTCCAAGGAAATCAAACTTCTGTGAAATCAAACTGTCCACTTAGAAAGCAACACTGATTGACAGACAATCAATATCACCTGCTGTTGTGCAAATGGAATAGACAACAGGTGGAAATTTTTTTCATGTTTATTTCATTCATTCAGATCTAGGATGTGTTCTCTTCATTTTTTTAAGTGGCAGGCATAGTTTACAAGATAGTGTTTTTGGTGCAAATTACTAATCAATACTCAGATCAGCATATTTACAAAAAAAAAAGTATAATTTGGCATCTATAACATTTGCAGTCATGCATATCCAATGCAATTCAGTTGTGAAAAAGGCATGAGCTGCTCCAAAATGCTGCAGCAAGACTTTTGGTGAAAATCAAGAACCAAGACCATCTTTTTGTAATTTTAACTTTATCAGCCCTATGTTAAAGTTAAGATCTTCTGCTTAAATATGAAGTGTTTTTAAAGAAGTGTAGTCGACTCAGCCAGAAGATTTGAACAAGTCGGTAAATGACAGCATTGCTTTTTTTCTATTTATTGTAATCATTCACCAACAGCAATTCTTTTTTCAAAGGTTTGGTTGGCTCTATTGGCCTTTATTTGAAAGTATTTTGACAGGAAACAGGGTAATGAGACAAGAGGAAGACATGCGGCAAATATCAATATTGAACCTGCGACCGCTGCCACAAGGACTAAAGCCTCAATACATGGGATGTGCTTTGCCACTGCACCACCACAGAACCCGCCGACAGCATTTCTTATTTCTTGTGTCTCAGTCCATTCCTTCACCTTGTTGCTACCTGTGTTGAGCCCTGGTTTCCGCTCCACAGTGCTGCCTTGGTTTTGGACTATTTGAGATTTTTGAGCCTTATTTCTTCATTAGATCATCATTATTCACTTCAACCTGACTCCAGCATCCTGCCTCACCACTTCCACCACACTTCATGACATTATTAAAGAGGTCTGAAATGTTTGGCATTATTTATAAAAACATTGAGTATATCATTCTTTAAAAAAAAAGAAATTATGGCATAACTTAAATATATATTGCTGTTGTGTGAGAATGGACTAAATAATAACCACATCCAGAAGAGGTTCCTATTGCTTCAACATTTAAATGTCCGCTCATCTGTAGATAAACTTTCCTTTGACATGTGCAGCTCTCAGGGTGTGGGAGGCATTCTGACATGGAAGACGGGCGGGGCGGGGTGGAGCGGGGTGGGGTGGGCCAGGGCAGGGTGGGGGGGTGGGGGGGGGCCAGGCAGGGCAGGGCGGGGTGGGGGGGGTGGGGGGGGGCAGGGGCGGGGGGGGTGGGGTGGGGTGGGGCATGGCAGGGCAGGGCGGGGTGGGGCAGGGTGGAGCTGGGCAGTGCAGTCAGAAAAAAATAAACTTCCACACACTGATATAAGCATCAGATTCTGCTGAACATCATCGTTCTCAGATTAGAAACTGGAAAATTATAAAGTGGCACAGAGCGAACCACTGCTTCTGCTGCAGAGTATCGACTCGAGGCGTAAAAAGAGAGATACAACATTCAGGACTGCTTTGTGTTTAATTGGAGTTTTTTTCCCAGTTCCATAACATTGTCTAAACAGGACAGACTTCTGAAGCTATAATTTTAAAAGCAGACTAGAAAATAAAACCCTAGTTTTATTATTTTCTAAAATGAGTCTCTGATAAATAACAGTTTCCAAATATAACTCAGAGGCATCTCTGTGACATTCCTGCAAAGGCTACAGGGATAAAGTTAGCTTCTGAGGAAACGTTAGAGCCCTGGAGTGTCTGAGGTCTCTGGCAAGTTGGAGGCAGAGCCCAAAGCAACATACAAGGAGTGAGAGAATGTCTGGAAAAATGAGGGAATTACAACAAAACAAACTGAGAAAATGTCAAAGAACGTCAGGTGAGTTGATCAGTTAAAGACAAAAGGAAAAACAATTTTCATCTCCTCATAAATATCATTTCTTGGGGGGTGGAAGTTTGTTTTCTTTTTCTTTTTATGCAATAGTTAATATGTTAGACACATTGTTTTATCTCAGTTTAATATTAAAAAAAGCAATAAAAAACTGATAGCAAACTCCAATTTTACCCATGAACACATTGATGTCTATTTCTACACTCCTGAAATGGTTTTAATTAGAAATGTTCTTTATTGTCCCAGACTGGGGACAATAAAGTTCAGGTCTAACGGGAGCATCAAGTTCTGTCACAAAGTGTTTAAACCATAAAACAAACAAGATTAGAAATACTAGGAATAATAATAAAGCTGACAGTACTAGATTTTTATATAAAAACCTGCAGTTAAATTAGAAAATATTTATATTATGAATCCATCTGAACCTGTCAGAATTGACTAAGTTAAGGTGTTAAAAGAGGTTATTGTAAAATGGAAAATGATTATCATTTCCTAATGTTTTTACACAAAGACTCATTCAGTGACATTAAAATAGGATTATATAACTACATTGAGAGAAGATTTGCTGCTCTAAATGCACTTTTGAGTCTCTCATATTTATATTTATACATAAAGAGATGAAAGGCACTGGATAAATCTGGACACTACTGGAAAGGCAGACTGGAAATGGATTTCTAACACAAATAAGCTTTAACAGTTTGATTGCATAATAAAGCTTTGGCTGTTGGATTATTTATTACACATTGTACCGCCTTCGTATTCAGCTGAAGAAGGTCATCCATTTTCAAACTGACACTTATTGGACAGTTTAAAGAGTTTCACTGATTTCATATCAAAACGTGTCACAGATGTAAACTTTATGGGCTTAGTTTAACCTTAACTAGGGTAACTAGTTATTTATTTAATTCCAACCAAAGTAGGACAGTCCAGTAGTAGGTCTGTTTTTAATCATTGCTACTTCACTTCTCCATCCATCCTCTTTTGGTCTATACCTGCAGCATCAGGAACGTTGGAGCCTTTCTCCAGAGCTGATTGGACGAGAGGCCTGGTCCACCCTGGACAGGTCACCAGGACAATAAAGGACAACACAAAGACATCCAGGGCAAACATCCATGCACAAACACACTCTTACCTAAGAGTAAGCAGTTGCATGTTTTTAGACTGTGGGATGAAGCCAGAGTGTCTGCAGTAAACCAAGGCATGAATGGGAAGAACATGCAGCTCCATGCAGAAACATTCAGGCCTGAACCCTCCATTTATGGTATTTTAAAGTAAAAATAAAAAAAATGTTCCATTAAAAAAATGACCAAACATACCACGTGTCTTCTTCCACATTTGATTTTATTATATGAAGTGTTTGATTGTGTGTGGCACCACAGACGTGACGTTTCTGTGGTGAACCTGAACCTCCACTCTCTTCCCCCCCTCCCTCCAGACTACAACAAAAGTGCAAAATCTCCTTCTCAGTCACTGACACATTACATGTCTTGCAGAAAGTCTCCCTCGAGTCACGCTAACCCTCAGCTGTGAGATGAACATTAGTCGCCGGCTCCGACCGACACATAAGACACATGGAGTTCATGTAAACAGAAAGACGAGCAGCAGCGAACAATTAGGAAGACTCAAACATCTTCTTCCTATCGGCTTTGTCCTCAATGTTCTTACGCCAGTCACCCACTGCTTCTGCTGGCTGTGGAACACAGAAACATCTTTTTCTAATAGCAATAAATATGTCTTCGAAAGCATCACAGACATAAGAACAGTGATAATAGTTTTGTGTTCTACATAGGGCGAAATTTTGATCAAAACTTGTGTCTCACCTCCTCTTTGACCTCCTTCTTGACCTGCTTCAGGTTGGCCCTCAGGTCCATGTTGACCGTGTGTTTGGAGCCCAGCAGAGCCTTCAGCATGGCGTCGGCGGACATACGCACCTTCTTCAGGGCGGGCTTCTTCACTCCAACCAGATCCACCACTTTGATCTTCAGATCCTCAATCTATGAACAAATATGACACTTGATTTTTCTGCTCTTTCGATTTTTGCTGTGTTTTTGTGGTCACATGTGACCCACCTCTTTGTCTGCCTTTTGGACTTTGGCCTCAATGTCGTACCTTTCCTCATCTATCTTATCTATGGCAGCATGGATCTTCTTGCAGAGCTCCTGTTGACACAAATAATCAAAAATAATATATAAGATAATAACTTTTTCACCTGGACTGTTTTATATCAAATCTAATGAAAAATGAAAACTCTTGTCATGAAGGAAGATCCGCAGCAGAGCTCATGTTACAGTGTGGACTTGTATTGATTTCTACAACATTGCAACCACCTCTTTAGTTTGTGTTCTAACTAACACACACTAAAGATGTTATAAAAGTTACATTTATAAGCAATGTAACTTTTAGAAGAACCATGTTTTATGTGGTTCCATGTCTTAAAATGGAGCCATATTATAAGTTCAGGATGCTTGTACAACATGGAACAAGGACAATTGACTGTGTTCATCTATCAAATTCTGATTTGTTGGTGAATGTAGATGGAAAAACAGAAAAAAGAAAAGAAAGAAATGGGCTGACAAAGATTTTGTTCTGGAAACTGGATATGTGTGCTCTGTCATTCCACCACCATGTTGCCATGATTCATAGTTACATCTACTTATGGAAACTCCATCACCTCTAGGATTTTGTTGTTCAGAGGTCAGAATCTGAACTTACTTAAA